CCATGTCTGAAGCCAGACTGGAACGGATCGAGATAGTTGGCTTCCTCCAAGGACCACTGGAGCTGAAAGGCCACCACTTTCTCAACAACCTTCCTCACGAAGGGGAGGTTGGAGACTGGACCGTAGTTGTTTAAAACAGCTGGATCCAAGGATGGTTTCTTCAGGAGGGGTCTCACCACCGCCGTCTTTAAAGCGGGGGGAAAGATCCCCTCCCGAAGGGAGGCGGTAACAACCGCCTGGATCCAGCCTCGTGTCACCTCCCTGCTGTTTACAACCAGCCAGGAAGGGCACGGGTCCAGCACAATAACCATTTTAAGGTATAACAGCACACATGAATAGAACAGAATAGAATTCTTTATTGGCCAAGTGTGATTGGACAAACAAGGAATTCATTTTTTGTTTTTTGTGTATATGTTCTCAGTGTACATAAGAGAATAAAATACATTCATCAAGAATAAAAAGATATAACACTTAGTGATAGCCAGGTTATTAATAAGCTATCAAATCATACTAGGAAATAAATAAAAAGCAATATAAATTGAAAGATACAAGCAACATGGTTATAAGTGTGGAGAGATAGACAGAAGAAACACAAAATGAGGAATACAGAATAAGAGGGTACATTCAAGTGTGTCTGTAGAATACACCAGCAAAGTAAGTTTTTAACTCAGCTGCTGACTCTGTGAAACGAGGGAGCAGAATTTTCATCTGGGTCCCCAGCCAGGTTTTTCTCATCCCCTTTTGACCCCATTATTTTCTGTTCAATTACCCTATAAATGAGATCATGTGAGAGAAACCCAAAATATTGAAAAAACTAATGTTACTGCCTTAAATGATCCAATCCTACAAACATGGAATTATATTCTGGGAGAAGCCCCTTTCAACTGTGAAGCTCAGGCTATTGTTCCCACTGACCATCCACTCTCATTCCCCTCCCGATCACCAACTTATTAGTTCAAATTTAGATAAATATACTCAATGCTGCTCTAGAGCTGATGAACTCTGATTATATTGAATCCTTTGGATCTTTTTACTGAGAAATGGATTCGCACTGAACATGAGTACATACAGGTCAAAAAAAGGAAGACCTCAAGGAAGTCACTGGGAGACACAGAAGATAACCAATACATACTATCAGCAGAATCACAAACAAAAGGAAGTTTAATTTAAGAGGGAAAGTGTTGGAGTCTCATGGGACATATTCTTTCCACAATGAAGGAAGAGGATGCACAGTTTCCCACAAGGAAGACTATAGAACCATCTAGTTATGCAAGCCCTTCTCCATGAGAACCAAAGCAACTTCTTTCAAACAGTATTTTCAAGTATTCTGGAAGCAATTTCAGCAACAATACAAAATCTGCAGTGAACTGTGATATTAGATTCAAATCATTATTAACAGCTCTAAGATGGGTTATGTCAATTCTACACATACTTGTCTCAACAAAGAAAAAGCAAAATTTATTCATTACCTGCAAGTCAAAGAATTTGCTGTACCTCCGGTAGATTGTCTGGCAAGTTGTGTCCGACCATGTTACTTTGATTATATATACCTAGAATTACAGAACAAACAAAAAGAAACATATTATACATTTATTGTATCATAATTATTTTTATTTCTATGCTACCCTTATATCATAAGGACTGTACTATAGTTCAGTAACCAAGATCAAAACTGCAATACCATGAGCTTCTCTAATTCCAATCAAATGACTCTGATTATTTTATTTCCATACTTTGTAATGTTATCCAAAATGTTATTCTGAAATAATTGAATTATCCAGCATCATTTGATCTGATCTGCAAAATGAGGAACATGTTTTCTGTTAAATGTGTTTTAGGCCAAAGCTCTCCTCTGAAATAAATTGTGCTTAGCATTACACATAGCACCTCTTCCAAAGCTACTGAAATTAAAAATTGGAGATAGAGTGAATGATATAAATTAATAGCATAAAATAGTTGAGCAAATTTTTTGGTTACAACTTTGAATTATCTCCTAGATCCGTGATGGCGAACCTATGGCATATGTGCCACAGGTGGCACACAGACCCCTCTCTGTGGGCATGCAAGTGGTCATCCCAGCTAACCTCCGCCTCCCGCCAGCCAGCTAGTTTTCCGGTATCTGGCACACATGCATGGGGTGGAGTGCATACGGGAGATGCATTTGCATGCGCAGGGAGCATGTAGGGAGGTGCATGCACATGTGCAAGGGCTAGGGCATGTGCAGGGGTCACAGATGGGGAGCGGAGTCACACTCACATGCACAGGGGTGAGTGCGCGGGTGGGTCACATACACATTGCATTATGGATATGCGTGTGCACGCTTTCAGCACTCATTGCTGAAAAGGATAGCCATCACTGTCCTAGATGAATGGTTGTACTCATTTTTTGTATGATTTTTGGTGGATTACATCTTTGGAAGTTTTCATTCTTTGATGTAGGACTAGAAGATCATGGCTATTACATTTTTGGTTTTCAATGTGATCTGTGATTTGATGCTACATTTAGGTAATCTTATATTAAAAACATTTTTTTATGAAGCTTCTTATTCTTCTTCCATATTTTGTTTCAGGTGGAACCAGAAATAGGCAGCTATCTATTTTTTTTAATTATTCATGGACAGGAAATCTAACTATAGATTTTGGTAACACTATGGCTAAAAATACATCAAAGATGTGGGTCATAGGTTATATCATGGCAGCACAGCTAAATCTCTGGCTTTTCGGGTGCCAAATTCATTTTTGTTATATTATCCATCATCTCAGATGAAGCCTGAAGCTGTGTTTGACAAGCACCTATTTAATCTCAAGACCATTTTTCCTTGCTGTTGTTGCTGCTGCTCTAAAATTCAGAATCTGAACATGATTTAGCATGAATTGATGGAACCCTGCAATGGTATGTGGAAATGACTTTGAAGACTGGGCAAAATAGCACAGCCAAGGGAATGATCAGAAAAAGGTAACTAAGCCCATAGTAACAATGTGGGAGGGGCAAAGGGTTAGAAGAGACCCTCTCTAATTTCTTGGGCTGCAAGCTAATGGAATGGGGTCTGTTATTTGGTTGGGTAGTTGGTGGTAGTATGGTAGTTCAGACTTCAAGTTGAAGATTTTGGTCCACTTTCAACTTACTTGCTCAATTTGTATGTAAGACCCATGTTTACATATAGTTAATATAGTTTATTTCTTACTAAGTGTAGGAGTAACTTCCCACAACCTCCATAACAGTTCAATTGTGATGTTTATTTTGTTGTTTTTAATAAAAGTTTTTAAAAGGCTTTTGAACAATATTTTGAAATATATATGTTATACAGCTAGTCAATGAGAAGTGAAGGAATTCATGATTAGCATGTTAGCTAAGTATTTTTTAGAAGTAGCTTTCAAGCCATAAGTGATGTAGCAAGCCCTGTAAAACATCTGATTAACACATGATGATGCAGTTCTTTTCTTTCTATAAAAAGCACACAAGTAAATAAATTGTGCTGTAACAGGTCGCAAATATCCACTTAATGAGTTGCTAAGTAAGAATTCATCATCAAAATAATTATTTTCTCTGGAAAACACCCAGCTATGCTTGACACTGATCCAGAGAGTCACATGACATCATGTCCTGATGTCAATCCCTGCTTTTCTAAAGAGGATACGTGCATCAGAAGGGAAGCACTGCATTAGCAGAGGTCATAAGTTCCTCTGTTGAAAGACCAAATGCCACTTCCTACATCAGCAAACCCTCAAATAATCAAAACTAGTAAACTGAAATCATTAGCTAGCCTTATGTAGAAACCTTGCCCTTTCTTACAGTGACAGCCTTTCATACTACATGTTGTGAGCCCTGAGTTAGATATCTATTCTGAAATCGTTCCATGATTAAGTTGCTTTTTAATTTATTGTTTATACTTCTCCAGATGATCTTGCAGGAGGATTGGAACTTCCAATTCCTATACAAGAGAAATATTTGGGTAAAGTAAAGGTGTCAGGTAACAGTCATCAGCATTTAACCAGACCCCTCTTTACTTCCTACATTTGTTTCTGGAGGATAGTTACTATAAAGATATTTCTCACAGCTTTCTTCTGACAGATTTGCTCACCTATGATCTCACACTTCAGAGTCAATGGTTTTCAAATCATGCACCTATGAACTTTAATGATCCCTGTCATTTACACGTCCTACATAATTATGTGCCTATTTTAATTATGAACAGCCAATAAATATTTTCATGGTATAACTTGCTCTTGATAGTATATGTTAAAATATGTTTAAGATTGCCTTGTTTCCCTAAATCAGCCTGGATTCACTACAGATGTACGGACTTTAATTTACACAGTTTTCAGCAATGGCCCAAAATTGCTTATGCCAGAGAAGAAGCTCTAGACTGTTCTTTCATAATAACTTTTTTTTCGTTTGACCCTGTATTAGAGCTCTGGGAAGCCTTATTGTAAAAACTTGTGCAATTCATATGAGTATGAACATCTTCCAGCACTGACTCTTAACCTTGCAACTGAAGTCCAAATACAGTGCCTTGCAAGGGAACCCAGGGCCTGGGAAAAACAAAAGCACATAGTCCCAAAGTTCTTTGGCCACTGTTGAACAATATGGAGTCTCTGGGGGTTTCCATGTACTAGGCAAATGGAAATTCTTCAAAGGGTATCTTGCTGAAAAGAAGTGTTCCCCCCTCTTTCTGACAAAAAATAAAGTTCATTTAATTTCCAAGACCCTTGAGGCAAAAAACTCAAAACTACTCCTTGTCTTTAACTCTGGACTGTTTACTAAGGGGAAATGTAGCTAGTATGCATCCAATTGTTCTTGCTTTCAGTGTTAACTATTTCAGTCTTTCCTGACCATAAAAGTCAAAAGCAGCAAATTACTAAGTAAGCCTTTGATCGCCACCCCCAACCGTAATAAACCTAGTTTACAAACTAGTGTTAAACACATAGAACAACTTCTCACTGGCAGAAGGAGATGGAGTTGAAGAAGAATTCAATGTATTTCAACTTCTATAACTGTCT